GGCACAAACTGCAAGAGCAAAATCAGAATAAAAAGGGTTTTCTACATTTTCTCCTATTCAAAGAGCTCAAAGGATTTTAGTGGCATGATTTAGGGTCTGGTTTGGTGGTGTTTTCAAAATGCATCCTACCCTTCCATAGGCTAGGAATTCTAATCTGCGTTGTTTGGGATCCAGTACACCTGCACAGCAAGGGAATTCTGCAAAGACCAAGTAGGGTTCATCCACTGACCACAAGAACTTGTCATAAACTAGAGATACTTCGTAAGAAACAAAAAAACTTTAAGTATAAAATTACTAAAGTGAAATAGCATAGACATCATGACCTGCTGACCTTTATAATCCCATTCAGCCTCCACAATCACATCTATCTGACCTTTATAATCACATTCAGAAACATGAACTCTGGTCTGGATTTGATTATTTGCCAAAATTCTTTATGATCCTCTTAGGCTGCAAAAGTTCTGCCACTTCTTGTGTTTTAATCAGCCACAAAACATGCATTTATGCATTTTATGGTTTTCTTTCATCCCAATAAAGCGTAAAATATAGTAAAGCTTCCTAAAGCATCTAAGTAATTTAGGAATAAGTAAGAAAGTATGTTTATATTTGGGTCTTATTAAGACCTGAGAGAAATTGTGTTTCTTGATTTCTCAAAATGTCTTGTATAGAAATCCAATTACACACACTCCAGCAAACTCATGCAAAAATTTCTCTTCAGTGTTATTACTGCTCCTTCCATCAATACCTGCCAATAGATGCTTCACCCCCAGTGATTCCAAAGCACTTACATATGTTCAAGTAAGGATGAGCCCAGTTACTTTGCTTATCTGGGCCTCTAAGAACAGTGCCAGTTGTTTCTGAAGAAAAAAGGTGACCATAAAATGAGTATCCTTAAAGAAGTGAGGTTCTTAGAAGATCTTATAAATGGGAATGATTCTTCCACAACTATGGAATCATCTTGACTATGGGTTTTACTAATATGTCAGTTTTCACTTCCAGAAGCGTTCCTCATCAGTACAAACCAATCTTTAATACAGAGTAGTTGAGTGTGTATCAGGAAATCTATGATTTTAGACTAGGTTAAATATAAAGAGCTCTCCAAACCAGCAAAACCCAATACACTTTGCAGGGTTAAGTCTGGCATATTAAGTCTGGCAAGCAAATCAGCTAGTTTTAGAGATGCACTGTGATATGCACCCATTTTTGGCCAGCCCAGCCAAGTTTTGCACTCAAAGTTACGCAGTTAGTTGGTGTTCTGCCCCCAAATCAATGTCTGCAGTTTCTGTCTAATAAATCATGAGATGCATAGGCTTTCTCTATTTTAAGCCCAGCTACTAAACTCAACTTCACACTGAACAAGTATCACAGAATCATAGAATTATTTAGGTTGGAAAAGACCCTTAAAATCATCAAGTCCACCTGTTAACCCAGCACTACCAAGTCCACCACTAACCCATGTTCTTAAGCGCCACGTCTACAAACATCAGAACTTTTTACTTTCTTGTGGAATACTTGTTTCACCAGCACTAGTATATACTACCAGAAAGTGAAACAGTTTTGGTTAGGAATAGGGAGACAAAGCTATGTGGAAAACAAGAGTGCAGCTTTTATGTGAGCTTGAGAAGATCCCAAAGTGAACTGTATCCAGTGGAAACAAGGTCTAAGTGCCGACCTGGGAGTTTCCCACAGCCCCTATTGGCCTTCACAGCCATGCATGTCATCAGAGCCTCTTGCTGAAGCTCTACGTAAGTATCTAACTGGTATTAAAAAAACCCAAAATAAAACCTAAATTAAAGCCAGATGGGGAAAAAGCAGATGCCTGAAATTTACTGTAATTTCAAGACAGAATAGAAACACTTGCTAATTTTATTATTAGCTTTCTGAGTAAACTGTCATGCTAAGTAAGTCATGTAGAACATTTGTAATTTCCTGGTGCATCTCATGTTAAAGAAATAGGTGCTCTATTGACTACAGCCCTGTAATTGGAATGAAATTTAACCCACAAACTAAATCAGTGTTATGATTCCTACTCTGGTTGCACACTGAATTATGATTATATTCTATATTCTTATCAGTCATTTTAAAAAGCTGAGGTCAAGGATGTCGAGATGGCATTAACTCTTAGGTCAACAGCTGAGCCCTGGAACAGGAAATTGAACAATGCAAGCAAAAAGGATATTCAGTAAGTGAAAAGTCTTCCATATCTTACTGCAAATTGTATTGCTTTGATCTGGGCAAGCACACAGCATGGGGGGGGGAGGGAAGCAGGGGGGAGGAAGGTTTTCATAGAAGCTTCAAGCCATTCAAACCCATTCTAGTTAACGGAGTCAGCCACTCCTACAGAACATGCATGACTTACTCAGAATCCCTTTTAAGCAACTCAGAAGCTATTTTATAAAATTAGTTTCATATTTAGCTTATTAAATCCCTTCTGTACATACATCATGAAAGCAGCTAAGCATTTGTTAGGTGAACTAAAAAACTGAGGTTAAGCGTGTGATTTAACTTAACATGCAAGATGCTGAAGCATAAGAGCAGTAGGACAAAACCTCCTGTTCTTCTGACCACAATAAAACATTCTAAGCAAAGCATACTATTAAACACTCTTAATGAATCAACATTTTAGGAGCAATTCCTTTAAAAAAAGAAGATTGAGTAGCTTCAGATCAGTTTTCCCTATCAGACACCTAATATCACTTATTTCATATAAAGAGAATTGCAATACAATTATGATGTTGCTGTAGCAAATATAAGGTTGGGTGACATGTAATTTTACAAGTCCATTTTCTTTACAGTGGAGCAACAGCACTGGTCAAATTTTACTAGCTAGGAGGAAAGGAAAATCTTCAGTTATTAGGTGCCATTTTGATGGTTGTCAAACCCAAACATCATCCACAAAATCTCTTTGAAAAGTCTGAGTGCAGAAAGACAAGTAACTTCTTGACAGAATGATCAAACATTCCAGTTACCAGAATGGACCATACCTGTCTTATGAAACCCCTCTCACTACTTCTGTTGCAGTTTTTAGAATGCCAAGTATCAAGAATACCCTAAACCAACCTGAAGAGCACTGATCTTCATAAATCTAATGTTTCCATTTCAGAGAATATATTCTGCCAACAGCAGCTCAAAAGGAGCCAGAAACCTGAAAAACCATTTCACAGTTTTAAAACTCAGCAATATAAATGACACAAACTACCCTGCATGAGAAAAATAAGCTCAAAAGACAAGAACAATTCAGCAGAAAATATACTAAAAGCAGTCTCTCATGCACCTCCAAGTTTTAAAAACTGCCCCAGATTAGGCAGAGTGGAGGACAACAAAACTACCTCTTTCAGTCAGCAGTGGCACAACGTAACAGGAGAGTAGGCCTTTTAATCCAAAGAAAGCAAATACTCTGCCTGTTAGACCACACTGTTCATAAAGAAACACTTTAACAAGACTACTGAAATAGTTAACCCTGATAAAACAGATGAGTTTTACAGCAATGCTACATGGAAGAAATCAAGGGAAGTCCCTGGTTCTGTGGTAGCTGGGCTAATACTCACACCAGACTACATGCTGTAAAGGGTATCCAAAACGTTATAAACACCCATATACATTCTGAAGCTGCAGAAGAAACTTATTAATCAATCTTTGTAAAATTATACACTACTAATTAGGGTAACTGTAATTGGGTTTAGTGCTGTTATTACTAGCCTAGACACTTCTTAACAGCCAAACAAGTATGGCAATCACACTACAACCACTCTTAATATTAGTGAGTAGCACCTGTTAAAGGGTATTTGTTTTCCTTTCTTGGAACTCTCTCATATATATATATATTTTTCTAGGTATCACCAGACTGCTTTAAGAATGCATCAGTATTTCACAGTTGAAGCCTCCAGCATCTGCTCCAATTATTTTATAAGTTTAAAACGTGAAACAGAGCGCCAAGTCATCATTAGCCCCCACAAACATTGGTAAGCAACACTGCTGAGCCATTTACAGCTGAAAAAACAGCTACAGCATTTGCACAGGCTACAGTAACTGAATATTCACTTCTCAAAGCCAACTTCAGAAACATCCACATGATATGACTCCACCAAAATTCAATTACAGATGTAGAACAGCACAGACATTTACAGACAAAGGAAGATCACATATCACTACTCAAATACACTAGTAAGACACATATTTGTTTCATTTGTTATGGGACAAACTGAGTATCACAACTTTTTATAGACAGGGTTATCACCCATGAGAGCAAAACATAGCCCAGTTTCATTCCATATTACCTTTTGTCAGTAGAGAAATAAACAGCATTGCTTTCCCCATATTAAAATCCATCAAGCAGTATAATAACCATATTTCAGACTGAACTAAAATGATAATTGACTTCCTTACACCACACAACATAGGTTGACTTGGTTTATTTAAAAACAATTCTTGACAACTCAGATATAAAATTTAAAGTAATTGAAGAGATTGTCAAACCTACCTAGGAACCTGTGTAAAGACTGTGGCTACCCACAATCAGTACCTGTATATAGCACTTGAAATGCTTGCACAAACTGCAGCTTACACTGCCACAGGAACAGCCTAAGAGACAGGAGCTTTCCTCATACACATTCAGAACTCTCAAGCAACAACTACTACTTAAAATATTTCTGTATTTCACAAAATGGGACAACAATAAAATTAATAATAATAATAATGAGTGCTGCACGTTTCTAATTGGCTGTCAACTTGCATCACATCATTCTGACAAAAAGAATGATCTCTCACATGCAACAGTATTTCTTATTCTATAACATTAAAAGGACATATCTTCCTGGATGGATTATCCACGTGGCTTGTGTAAATCATCCTGTAAATCAAGCACCACTGCTGATGCTATCAGTGATTCATTTAATCATATGGTTATTACTGAACCTAGGACAGTTATACAGCTGAGCATAAAACCAAGCACCCTTTACTGCCACATCTTTATTCTTAAGATCCAAATTGCATTTTCTTACCTCAGCAGCCTGTGTCTCCTGGTGTAATAAAGTCAGACCTGTCAAGTCTTCCAAGAAGGAATGTGAAGAATTAAAAACTTTAGCTAGGAAATTAAACCCTTCTCGTTCATACTGGTCAAGGACCTGTCAAATAAACAAGCAGAAAAGGGTTTTAATGTCCTGAATGTGATTCATCATCATCATATTTTGCTTACAAAATAAAAGTACAATCTTTCTGAACACTCAGAAAATGACTTCATATTGTAAACAGGTAAAAATTATGGAGAAAAGAACCACCACTTCTCCCAACTCAATTTCTAACGTGGGGAAAGGAGGAGGTAAGAGGGAAGAGAGGTTTAAGATTTCCTGGCTTAAACGTATTTTTAAGCTTGTAACAAGACAAACGATACAGCAAGTAGAAAAACTTAGCTGCAAAGTCACAAAAGGAGCATTTGAGTTACACAAAACACAGTAAAAGATTGTTCCAATGCATCAGTTAAGGGAAGAACCATGCTGGGACAGATGAAAAGTTCTCCAAGTAAGTGCTCAAGTCCAACATCCTCCCAATCTCCAGAGATTCATGGTTCTGAGACCACTGTATCTTAAAGGCCTTTTTATTTTCCTACTCTGATTTTCCCAGTTTATCTTTTACTGTGAGAATCTTATAGACTAGTATAAGAATTGTGAGGAAGGTTTTAACTTACGCTCCTCTCAAACCCCTGACCACGACAATTTTATTTCATGTAGACAGAGCTTAAATGGCTATTTCACAGGCTGATTTCATAGAATCATAGAATGGTTTGGGTTGGAAAGGACCTTAAGCTCATCCAGTTCCAACCCCCTGCCATGGGCAGGGACGCCTCACACTAGACCGTATCCCCCAAGGCTCTGTCCAACCTGGTCTTGAACACTGCCAGGGATGGGGCAGCCACAGATTCTCTGGGCAACCAGTGCGAACACCTGAACGCCCTCACAGGGAAGAACTTCTTCCTTATATCTAAACCTGAACTTCCTCTGTTTAAGTTTGAACCCATTGCCCATTTTCGATCAAATATTACCATTAGATTTCAATCAAGTGTGATGGAGATTGAGGAAAGAGAAGATAAATGTCAAAGATCTACATGATTCTACAAGTTTCATGAAAGCAGGTAGCAAGAAAATGGAAGGAATGTATGATCGAGCAATGCACTCAGCATCCACTGTTCTGTTTTTGTTCTGATTGCTACCCCTGGCTATTTATACCCTTCTCTGCTATCATCAGGCTGCAATACATGGGGTTCATGGGGCTTTGTGGACTTGTCCAGTGACCCATAATCAGAAATTGAAAATAAAATAAAAAATAAAAAAAAAAGGAAAGAAAAAACCCAAAGAGTTTTAAAAAACACCTAGGAACATTGCCTTGGGTTTTCCTTCCCAAGATAAACACATGAAGACAAACTCATCTGACTGTTCACAATGCAATGTAGAGAACTGGACAACTTCAGCATTCCATTTGAGAGGAGACCTCCGTTCCATTATGTATTGCATTGTGGATACACACATACATTTAATGACTACACTGTTGCAGAACTCTAAGAAAGCAACCAGACGTGCAGAAGTCCCTCGCATCTGGCTCCCTGTGAAACACTGCATTCAGACACAAACTGACAAACTTGGATGATGTTCACAGCCCTGCCTGTATATAATCCTCAAAGCTATTGGCATTAGCGAACGTGTTGCTATTGCTTTCATTTGCTGGAACCACAATACAGAGCTTATGAGACATCTCTGGAGTGATGTAGGCCACACTGTAGTTCACAGTATACTGAAACTGTAGCCTTATTCTAGAGCATTACAGCGTATCAAAGACAGAGGGGACAAGAAGCAGATATTCTGGTCTCTTCCCGGAAGTAAAAACTATGGGATATGCAAATGTTACAAAGAGAGCAGGGAACAGAGTACAACCCTACTACATATGAAAAGCCTACCAAATACCCTTCAAATCTCGTTGATTTTGTTGCTCAACTATGCCTTGATCCTTGTTTCCAAAGACCTGGGACTCAAGCCTGAAGTGAAAACTCCCAAGTATTGCTTCCTCAGCAAGTACAGTCCTTCAGTGTGCCAGGGTGCCCTGTGTAAACTGCCCTGGTCTATTCCAGAGATGTGCTTAACCTTATTCCCTGCCGCAGACAAATGAATCCTTACATGTTCACACAAAACAGACTGCAGCACCACACTGACATCCACAATGTCCAGCATTAGTTCTGGATGAATCACCTGGAAGAATTATTATTAAATCCAAGTGCCTTTTCTATTGTGATTAGCATGGAAGAGACTAGGAAGTCTACCATTAGGTGTCTTAATACAGAAGATTTGTCTTGTATTAGCACCTGCAGAAGCCTGAAAAACTTTATCTGATTATAAACTTGCTGATTATAATTACTTTTATAATGGGAACAGCCTGCTGAAAAGAAGACCCTGCTGACTAGCTTTACAACAGAAATTCCAGCCACATGGGCCAGAGAACAACGTACCAGGGAGCCAAAGCATGACCTGGCACCATCACTCAGTTTGCTGCCCAAGCAGCAGTGGTAAAGGAGGATACACTACCATGAAATCCTTTTAATACAGGCAGCAATTGAAAGAGCATTTCAACATCCTCAGGGACTTAATTTGCCAATGCAATGATTAAAACTTTACAGTGAATACTACGAAAGGGATAAACACCATTGACTTGCCCACCTAGAACTTTTACTACACAAATCCAGTAACAGCTGTCCTCTGATAAACCTAACATGGCATATATTTGTTCAGTAGCCACTGAACATACCTCACAAAGGAAAAAGAGTGCAGCAAAATAAAACTCCTCTCAAATTGCTATGCCAGGGGACCACACAGGAATACTCTGCAGGTCATCAGGAATAAAGCCAACCTAGACATCAAACTGGCACAAAACATTGCTAAAGAATGTTTCCAGATTTAATAAGTGCCCAACTGTCGCTGAGTGAAGAAGAAATTTTCTCCTATTTAATCATGCCCAGCAAAATGTAAAGGCCATGGTTGGCAGGAGTCTGCTTTTTCAGTTCTTAGTTCTCTTTGCTGCGAACACCATACCTGGTACCAATGAGGTTGTTCTGAACAGCAGCTTTACAGGAGAAAACTGCTTGAGAGATGTTATAGCTTCTATCATTATTGATCTCCAATTAGTTACTATCTGACCTTAGGTGTAACAAAAAACCCTCACAAACTTTTCCTGGAAATAAACGTGTCAGTGAGCAGCGTTCAGTGACATGGCACTGTGCAGCAGTTGATCTTCTCAAGCAGAAAAAACCACACAGCAGCAACAGAAGGAACCAGGAGGACATAATTCTCCTGCTTAGCAAGGCGAGCTGGAGCAACACACATTGATGAAGGAACTCTCACCTTTTTCTCAGTTGTGGGTCACTTTTCAGAGCTCAGCAGGGGAATTTGAAAGTAACATGACTTCTGTATTTCATGTCTGTGACAACCACTACTACCAGGAGAACCCACATTTTAACACACTCTCTTTCCCGACACACGTAAATCTCCCCCTCAGGTTGATGCTATAAGCTCAGTTCCAGTCTCCATTTTACAGAGTCAGAGCTACAAGTGATTTTTTACATAATGGCACTTTAATGGAACAAATGAATCTGTGGATGCACATTAACACAACAGGGACAAATTAATGTATTGTTAAAGCTCTTTGTGTAAATGATACACAATAACCCATTTTATTAGCAACCTTTTTATTCTTGTCTGTTTACTGAGGGAAAACGAAACAAATCTCATGGTAGGAGGAAAAAAAAAATAGAGGCTTAGAGTAAAAGAACTTGTTTTGAAACAAGAAACAGATGTGCAGCCTTGGTGTTATATTCTTTTTAATAGCATTCTGCACAAAGAAGTCTCAATTGCCGGGTAGAAAGACATTCGGAAAGAGACTCTGGCTCCAGGATCGCTTTATAGCATAAATGTTAATTTCTGGTTAAGTCAAAATACAAACCCCAAACTCCTAATCCCAAGAACCTGGGCACTGATGTGGAACTGGCTCACATTTTATGCCTCATTTCTGTCATAGAGTTTTTAATCTTTTCCCGGTACTTCCATTTGGGTTAGCTTTTTTGTTTTCTAAGCAGTCAGCACCTGCAGAGCTCCAAACAGTGGTGTTTACTTTCCAGGAAACATAAGAAATTACTCCTACCAGATTTATTGATTACACTAAAGAAGACATATGGGTATAGCCTGCCTCCAGAACAATGTGCCTGCTGCATTGTAAGCTCCTCCTGGCTTTAACCACTTTCCACTCCAAAAAGACAGCTCACTTCCCAGCCCCACCCTGGCTTCCCCTTAAGGGGACAGACACTTCACTAAACATTGCAGAGTCAGGAACACCACAAAATTCAATGTTCTATTTAGGAATTTTACATGCCTAGATATATTATTGCACACTGCTAACTATCCAGTTATCACAGGCATTGCAGAATGAACAGACTAGTGTGAGTGTTAGCACGTTGGAAAGAAAATTCAGTTTCAACAGCTGCTTGGAAAAAAAGGAAGATATGTAAAAGTCTTGCCAGTTCAACTCTTCAAAGCTCAATGTATGTGCTATTAAAAAAGGAAGTTTAGTGAAAGACTACAATGCTGTGAAGAATCTTCCTAAGTGAGAAGAGAACATAATGAGGCATGTGAGCCATTGGGATCTTGGGTGTAGGCAGCTGCACAGGCAGCACTGCTCGTGTTCACAGTTTTACCAAGAGACCCATAATTCTGGTTTCCTTAAGAATATCCTCAGCTCCTAGACTCCTGCCTTTCCATTAAGCTCTTGATTTTTATGACCATTTGGTCCTAAAAAGTTGTAAAGGAAAGCCTAATAAGGTGATCCTGTAATACATTTATGTAAAAGAATGCAATAAAACTGAACTTTTCTGAAGAGCACATGATGATTTCTCAGGGACTCAGTGCATGACATAGGAACAGAGAAGTCTGACAATGCTATATGTGCACAAAGATGACTTTCAAGATACTTCATCTTTTGACTATACTCCAATTTATCATCTAAAAACGTGTGTACGAATGGTCATTCAGAATCGTGCATTCAGACACTCTGAAGAACAAGATCATAAAGCAAAGGTGTGAGGCAGGCTGTA